TCTACTGAGTGCGCCACCAGGCCCGCCCATCATCCTAATTTCTTAACCCCCAGCTTTCTACATCATACTTCAAAAAAATAAAGCAGCTATGACCATCCATAAAAAGCCCTAGTGAGTGGTGAATTCAGAGCCTTGCCCAGGGCAGGTGCATTCCTAGAAGGGGGATCTAATCTTCTCATTTGGTCAGAAGACAACTAAATTGGGCCCAAGATGAAGGTTATCAAAGATTCATTCGAGTCTGTTAAAGGCTTGCTTTCATAGCCTTCCCACTGACTTTACATGCATGTCCGTGGAAGCCAGCTTGGTGACTTTGCAGCTCTGCTCTGGAGCCCCCTGCCATGCCCATGAGGCTGCCTGCCCTGACTCCAGGCCTGGAGGAGTAGCAGTGTCCCAGGGGAGTGTGCTTTCAGGAAATGGGCAGAGTGAATAGACAGCAGCTGGTGGGAAAATGAGAATGGACCTCCAAGGACCTTTAAAATGGCCATGAATTCTGCTCTTGTCTCATGTGCACACAGTTAAAAACAGGCTGGCAGCAGGGCTGGATGACGACTGGGTGAGGAGCTGAGTCTAGTTTTTTGCCACTATCTTCTCCCTAGCCCTGTGGCCCATTTCCTGCTTTGTTTTCAATGCTGTTTCTAACCTTTGAGAATTAACGATTTGGCCTTTAGTTACCTCATTTGTCTTCTGGCTGTTTTTGGCTTCTCTCTACTCTTGAGAGGTTTTTTGTTCCAATTTTACTTGATGTTGTTAATGGCTTTTGGAATATCTATCCAATAAGCCTGTCAAGGGAATAGGTGCTGGACCATCTCCTTCTGCCCAAGCAGTGGTGTTTTTTCTACTTGTTTATGTGCAGGCATATGTCACATATATTTTTAAAGGGAAAAATGCTACACATGCTGGAGTTTGAATGTCCCTCTTTATTATCAGGTAAACTGATGGAATAATTTTGTTTTTCAGCAATAGAAATTTCTTAGTTGTAATCAAAAGTCTTAATTATAGTGGAAGAGGAAAGTATATTTGGATGAACTTGCACTAACAAGGAATAGTATAGTTTTTACATTTTAGTCTTGTGAGGATTTCAGTAATGACTCAATTGTATTTGAAAGCAGCTGAAGTACTTTTATAGAAAAAATATGAATTTGAACTCATAGTTCTTTATTAGATAGATAGATGTAGAAATAAATGTAGATATAAAAGTGCATATTTGTATGTCTGTTTCTCTGTGTGTCTGTATTAGTTTCCTATGGTTTCTGTAACAAAGTACCACAAACTTGGTGGCTTAAAACAACAGAAATTTATTCTCTTACAGGTCTGGAGGCTAGAAGCCCTCAGGGAGTCTTAGGGGCTTAAATCAAGGTGCTAGGAGGACCGTGGTTCCTCTGGAGGCCCTAGAGAAGAATCTGTTCCTTGTCATTTCCAGCCTCTAGAGCTGCATTCCTTGTCTGGGGGCAAAGGGCTTTACATCTTTTCTCTGACTGCTTTTCTATTCTTCTGTCACAGGACTTCTGTCTCAAATCTCCCTTTGCTTCCCTCTTACAAGGACACATGTCATTACATTTAGGGCCCAGTTGGACAATCCAGGATAGGCCTCCCATGTCAAGAAATCTAATCACATCTTCAAAGTCTTTGCCATATAAGGTGATATTCATAGGTTGTGCAGATTAGGATGTAGACATCTTGGGGTGGGGAGTCTGTATTCAGCCTACCACACAGCAAGTGTAAATGTTTGTGTGTTTCTGTGTCGTTTGTCTGTCTGATTAAAATTCTCTGGCTCTGTCCCTTGAGCTGTCCTGCAAGCAGCTACAGCCCAGTAGTGATGAGCACACCTAACATTCAAGTCTTGGATCTAAATAATGTTCTTCATTGAAAGGAACCAGGTGTTTTTGTTTTGTTTTGTTTTTTTAAAGAAATGGCTTATTCTAGGGAAAATACAAGAGAAGCTTGGAATATACTGTTGTACCAGAAAATAAAGAAGTGCTCAGAGAATAATCAAAAGACAAAGAAGCTATCTTGAAGAGTCTTCCACTGGCTCAAACTGGGCAATTTCAGCATTGAAATAAATAACGAAAGCAGTAGATTATAACCCGTTAAGTGAAGTAGTAAATACAGCCCACATTGATATAAATAAATTTATAAGTTGAAAGATTGATGAGGAACAATATATTTACGTAGTGTTTAAGTATCTTTTCACAGCATACTAATTAATTACAAAGAGAAAAAGTTTAAGTTGACAGTAGAGAAACCTGGCAGATCAAAGTCATATGACAAATTGAAATCATGTGCCACTTGATAGGATGCAAAGAGAAGAAAAACATCACTTCTGTGACATTCCTGTCAAAGATGCATGATCTGAATGTAATCATGAGGAAACGTAAAGATAAGCCCAAATTGAAGAACATTCTACAAAATAACTGACCTGTAATTTTCAAAAAAATCATGGTCATGAAAGTTAAGGCATATAATGTGATGTACTAATGGGTCTGAATAGCTTTTACTCTGGGAGGATCTGATTAGGTCATTTATTAGTGGATTCTTGACTTAATTATGTAGGTCTTTCTTCTTGAGTTGGTTGCGTGCTTAGTGAAAACTCTTCAGATCTCTTGGCTGCAGGGTGAAAAGTACGTGGTGCCAGTATTCCATAAGCTGGGTGGGAGAAGCAATCTAAGCATCTTTACATTTAGCACACAAATAGTTTCCAGGACAGTAAACTTGTCTTCAATTGTGTTTGGTGTCCCCAAGGCCAGAGATGCTCTTTGAAAAATATCTCAAGTTAATAAAACATTGTTTTACCTGAGAGGAGCGGGGGAGGGGCAGTTGCTCAGTGAAGTGGAGGTAGGGATCTGGGGATCTAACTGCTTGATAACCATTTATTTTAAGCAATCCTACTTATTTTAGCCACTCCCCCCCCCACCTTAAGAGTTTACCAGGTGCCTCCGTTTCCTTGGCCTTTGTGTATTCTGTAGTGTAAGTTGAATTTCTTCTTTGCTTTCTCCAGATTTCCAGGAGTCTGCTATGTCAGTTATCACTAGACAATTCGTTTCAAAAATGTTGCCTTTTCTCTTATTCTTTTCTTACTTGTGGGTTTGTGCTTTTATAGGAAAATTGCTTTACTGTGCTTTTAGTGGTTTTGGAAGAAAGCAAACATCGATGTGTATTTTTTTTAGGGTTTTCTTTTTCTTTTTTCTTTTTTTCATTTGCCATCTTACCCCAAAATAACAGAGATATTTCAAATTTTTAAAAAAATTTTTGTTTCAAAAATGTTGCCTTTTCTCTTATTCTTTTCTTACTTGTGGGTTTGTGCTTTTATAGGAAAATTGCTTTACTGGGCTTTTAATGGTTTTGGAAGAAAGCAAACATCGATGTGTATTTTTTTTAGGGTTTTCTTTTTCTTTTTTCTTTTTTCATTTGCCATCTTACCCCAAAATAACAGAGATATTTCAAATTTTTAAAAAAATTTTTGCATTGGACTACCTACCCCCCTCGCTCATCTCCCATATAGAACCTGAATTCATAAAACAGAAATGGAGCTATTGTGGTTGAAAAGGGAGTGTGGTTTGGGGTTGAGGGAACAAGAGGCCTTTCTGCTCAGCCTCATCAAGTTGATCTTTCCAGCTACTCCATCTCTACAGATAGGCAACTCCTTCCGAATCTTAGGGCTGTCATGTACACAGCTGGAGAACCAGTGGGTTAGAGTATTATACTTTGCTGCTTTTGGCTAGAATTGAATGACTCACCATCTTTTCTAACTTCATATCTTCAAACCTACGTTCCCCCTTTGTGGGCTGTTACAAGGATACACCATAAATATTCTTTTCCTGTTAAAAGGGAACAGCAGGGAACTTAAGTTAGCTGTCATTCTAGACAACTTCCCTTTTGCCCTCAAAATTTTCAGCCTTTCTTAATGTATTAGTTTGCTCGGCTGCTATAATAAAGTGCCACAGACTGGGTGGCCTAAGCCACAGAAATTAATTTTCTCACAGTTCTGGAGACTAGAAATTCAAGATCAAGACGTTGGCAGGTTTGGTTTCTTCTGAGGCCTCTCTGCTGTGTGTCTGTGTCTGAGGACACCTGTTGGATTTCAGTGTCCCTCACAGTTGTCCAAGTAATAGAGTGTTTTATTAGGGTGGAGCTGCTTAGTGTATTTTACCCCTGTGTAGAGCAGCCCTTTAAAAACGGTTTCTCTTCTGTAAGAATCTGAGTATATTTTAATAGTGCTTCACTCTCAGGCTTCAGTGCCTTCAAGCCTTGCTACTTAAAGTGTGGTCTGAGGATAAGTATCGCCTGGGAACTTTTTAGGAATGTAGAGTCTCAGACCCCATCCCAGACCTCCTCAATCTGTATTTTAACAAGATTCCTAGTGATTCATATATACAATAAAGTGTGGAAAACATTGGTCTAGAGCAAAATGTGGTTCGTGGACCAGCAACATCAGCATCACCTGGAAAATTATTAAAACATGCAAATTTTTAGGTTCCATCCCAGACCTACTGAATCAGAAACTCTGGGGTGGACCCCAACAGTATGCATTTTAACAAGCATTGTAGGTGACACTAATTAATTCTAAAGTTTGAGAAACACTCTAGAGCAACGTGTTTCAAACAGTTTTGATCGTGACCCATAGTGAGAAATATACTTCTAATCATGACCCAATATATACACACACACATACAAATATTCATACACATGTGACTTAGAAGTTTTATAAAACAGTGTTTATCTTACTATGTGCTTTCTACTCTGGTATTTTCAGTTTTACTCTATTAAATATACATATGGGTGTACAAACTTATTTATATGAAAACCTGGTCATGATCCACTCACACAAATATTCATACACATGTGACTTAGAAGTTTTATAAAACAGTGTTTATCTTACTATGTGCTTTCTACTCTGGTATTTTCAGTTTTATTCTATTAAATATACATATGGGTGTACAAACTTATTTATATGAAAACCTGGTCATGATCCACTAAATGATTATACAAGCCACTAGCAGGTCATGAGCTGCAGTTTGAGGAGTGATGTTCTCGAGCAGGACCTCAACCTCTTTTGTGCCATGGCCCCTTTTGACCGTCTGGTAAAGATCTGGATCTCTTGTCAGAATAGTGCTTTTTAAATGCATACAGTAATATGCATAGAGTTGCAAGAGAAATCAATTGTATTAGCTACCAAAATATTAAATTTGTGGTATAATATACATTTCTTTATTGATAAAGCTTAGTGGGGGGTCTAGTAACTACTGTTATTTCAAACTAGGGATGAGTATAAATATTTCAAGATATCTGCAGTATCTGCTATGTAATGTGAAAATTACCTTAATGTCTGTTGGTGACAAAGTTATAGTTACTGTTACTAATACTGTGGTTTGTTGCCTACATTTGTATTTGACAAAAATGCTAAATTTCAGCTTAAGATAAGTGAAAATAAAGATGTAAAATTCCATCCCTACTCCCCCCAGCTTCAGACTTTCAGAGTTATTTTGATGGATTCCCCCCCGCCTCCGTGGACCTGAGTTTAAGAACCTTTGCTCAACTTTCTAGAGAAAATTTGCAAGCTTTAAATTGAAACTGTAAGCCAAAAAATAATCTGCCTGGAATTTCTTAAAACTTTTGCTTCGTAGGTGGCATATTTTCTTGATTCCTAGCACCACAGTAATGAGTTCCTTCTTTAAGATGTTCTTCTCTGGTGTTCTAGTGAGGCCTTGGGAGGTCACCTGGAAGCCTAAATTCAAGCTATTGATGATGTTCCTTCCCTAGTCTCCCCCATTTCAGGACACACATCCAGTTGCTCAAGCCAGATTCTTGGGAGTCATCCTCAGTGTTGTGGGTTGTGGATTTCGACTGCCTGGATTTGAATCTGGGACCCAAAGTTTACTAGCTGTATAACCTTAGACAAATGACTTACCTGCTCATTGCCTCTGTTTTTCCACCTATGAGACAGGGATGATAGTAGTGCCCATCTCACAGGATTGTTCTGAGAATTAGATGAGATATTCCACGTATTGCTTGGCATGGAGTAAGTGGTTAGTAAATGTTATCTATTATAATTATCCTTGATCTCTTTCTTTGCCTCATTCCTTAAATCCAGTTTTTCAGAAAATTATTAGATTCTCCCTACAGTATATTTTTAATTCACCCCTTTTTGCCTATTTCCATTTCCATCACCCTACTCTCAGCTTCCATACTCCCATATGGACTCCTTACTGGTGTGTCTGCTTCCTCTTGTCTCACTCCAGTCTATTGTCTATATAACAACCATATCATCTTTAAAAGTATAAATGAATAATCTTTAAAAAATGTGAAGGAATCCCTGTGTTGGCTAAAACCCTTCCATGGCTTCCCATCAAGCCCTGATCAAAAGGCTACTTCCTCTCTTTGACCTGCCTGCCCATGTGCTCAGCCCCTGCCACCTCTGAGCCGTGCTGTTCTCCCTGTTGGTCACTAAACTTGCCCAGTCGCCAGTGCTTCCATGGCCATGTTGGCCACCTCTGAGATATTTGAGGAGGCTGGTCCTTTCATACTCTAAGGCCTTGCATGTGGCCCTCCCTCTGCTTTGTCGGGTGTTGCTATCCTTCCATACCCATCTTCTCATCTCTGCAGGTACTAATTCCTCAGAGAGCCTTTCCTAACCACCCTACCTAAATGAGGGCACCTGTTGTGGGAGCCCGTTGGCTGACTTCCTCTTTTCCCAGCCTGAAGCTCCCTAAACACATCAAAAAATTAATATTTCCTCTCTGTTGGGGAAAAGGATAATTAACAACCTGTGATGATCAAGCACATGACACCAAGAGGAGGGTGCACTTTTTTCACAAAGATAAGTTATACATATTATGCACATTAAGTGATTGTAGAGCTGTTTTAAGAAATTGCTATCTCAAAATTGTGCAAGCTAGCTCTTTGGTATTGAAGAATAGTGGGGGGCCTGCTCACTGTCTGCAGTGGGGGATGGAGTTATGATCGGGCCTTCTCATTACTGAAGATCATTTCTGCTCCAAAGGATATAATAGAAGTCATAACATTTTCCTCTTTGAAGTAGTTACTTGGTTGCTGATAAAACCCTTCATGCTTCTCTCCCCCAAAAAGAATGGTAAGTTGCTGCTCAGACAGAAAAGATGTCTCACAATCAGAGGACAGAAACCAGTGTGGGTAATGTCTGGATTATGGTTAATGTGTAAAGAGGCAGGAGAATGACTCTCTGGCTGGTCTCAGTCAAATTTCTTTGTATTTTGAAATTTCTTTCTTGTTACTTATTTTTGATTGGTCCTGAGCCAGAGAAGGGTTTTTTGCAATTGCCTATAGCAGCCAAGGAGGAGGTCTTAGAAATTCAGAATCAGGTTGTGAACCACTTTCACTATCACCTTTGTAGTTTTTCTGTCAAATAAGGGACTTTTAGGATTACAAGGGACACTGGAACAGATGCTCAAATTTAGGACAATCGGTATAAATGGGATGGACAGTTCTATTCTGTGCCCTGTTTTGCTGAACATTGTTCTTGATTATTTAAAAATGTGATCTCTTTTGGAGAAAGACTACTTTTTTTGTTGATGTGCTTTAACAGAACCCATACAAAGAAATATTCTTGTTATAGACTATGAGTAATGATAATCACTTGGAAAATGATGCATTTTGAAATGAAATACAGTTTTCTAATTGTAAAAAAAAATTAACGTAAACTTAATTTTTAAAAATCCACCATAATCTTGCCCCCATCAAGCCAAACTTTTTTATTTTTTTCTTATTCTCCATAGACGTTCATGTGTATATCTTTGTACATATAGTTCTTTAGTTGTGATCATGCAGTGATAATTTTGTATTTTGATTTTTTTCAGGTTGTATTTTTCATGCTTCATTTTAATTGTTATATAGCATTCCATTAAGTACATGCATTATAATTGCTTAATCCTTTGTTGGATAGTTTGCTTTATGATTTTTTTAAATGTTGTCTTTGTTTTGTTCTAATTTTGCAGGCAGAGACATTTGTTTGGGTTAACAGTGCATCAGCACATTCCCAGAGTGTTGCTAAAGCCAAATATGAATTTTTATTTGGCAGACCTGAAGAGAAAACTCCAGATACTAGTAAGTGTTTCCCAATTCTCCTCCTTCAGGTAAAAAAATATGAAGCACTACTGATTTCTGAGTAATTTTTCCTCCACCTGCATTACTTCCTTGACTCTGTGAAACCTGTTTGCTCTAATTATTCATCAAAACAATCTTCTGAAGTTGTAAGAGTTCAGAAATACTGGATGTAGTTATAGCCTGTTCTTGGTAATTTCAAGTCATGTTCTTGGTTTGAAGATTTCTCAGCTTCTGATATTTGAAATTTCAGTAATTAATTAATTCTCAGAAGGTTTTTTATTTTCCACATTTGCTATCGTTGCATATATTAACTACTTCATTTCTTGTGCTTGTTTTTATCTACCGATATATATTATTAGGAAACATTTCTGCAATGATTTTCAGACACTGTAGTCTTACCTTGGGGATTATCATAGTTCTTGTTTAAAAAAGCATTGGTCTAATCTAGTTATCAAATTCTAGTATTCTGAAATTAGAAGCAACACCCTTCAATTTGAGGCAAGTTCGTTTTAGAACAAATAGAAGAACTATTACTAGTACTAATAACAGCGGTAATATTAACTAGCTTACTTGATTAATTACTATGTGCCAGCTGCTATACTAGGTACTTTGCATGCAGCATCTCGTTTAATCCTAACAATAACCCTGCAAATTGGCATTGTTATCCCCATTTTCCAGATGAGTCTGAAGTAATCTCCTCAAGGTCACAGTCCCTCACACAGCAAGGCTGGAACTTCAACCCAGGTCTACTTGCCTGCAAAGCTCATGCTGTCAGCCTGTTGTCAGTACATTTTTGAAGGTAGTTTCCTAGAAGGAGATACAGGATAAAAATACAAGCGGAACTTCAACCCAGGTCTACTTGCCTGCAAAGCTCATGCTGTCAACCTGTTGTCAGTACATTTTTGAAGGTAGTTTCCTAGAAGGAGATACAGGATAAAAATACAAGTAACTTTATAGAGTTTTAAAACATTTAGCTGTGTCTGTGGAAGACTGATGATGAAGAGGATATTAGCATATCTTGGGAGTTAGACAGGAAAGGGCTTTTGCAGGTGGGTAAGAGCCTGGGCTCTGGAGCTAGACTTCCTGAGTTTGAATCCTGGCCTTGTAACTTATGAGCTGTGTGACCTTCCTTGCATAAATTCTCCAACCTATTTGCACCTCAGTTTTCTCATCTGTAAAAGAGATGATATTGATTCATGTCTCAGAATTCTTTTGAGGATTAAATAAATTGACATATGTAAAGATCTGAGTCATGCTTAGTACGTAACGAATGCTATTAAAGTGTTTGCTGCTATTATTTTTTGCCGCCATCATTGTCATCATCATCATCATCATATCCCTGACATTTGAGGCTGACATTTAGAAATACAATCCTGACTTTTCTCCACTCTGTCATTATCTGACACTGATTTCTGTTTTGGGAGGATAAGGAATCTGACCTAATATAGCTTTTGCTCAGTTGAAAAAGCCAAATAATAACTATACATGTTTGATTTCTGTGTTAGGTGGGACTATACACTAACCCCATAATATTTGGGGATACCAAGAAGGCAATGTACACACAGCCATTTAATAATTCCTTTTAACTTAAAAATGAATATTTATTAGATATTTTAATAGTTGAAGACTCTTAAATGTAGTATAAAACAGCTAAATTTTTTTACAGATTCATTTGGCTTTTATCACAGCATCCCAACTTAGAGGGGGATATATTTCATAAAACATCTTATTACTTATGTAGTACAGCCATTTATGCTGTTTATCATGTAGCATAAAAACCCAACTGTTCTGGGCTTGAGGTTTGCGGCACCTAATCTTCTATTCACTCTTTCTCAGGGCGGGGGGTGTACTACTGATTATAGCTGTCGTAGGACTGTTTAATTCTCTTTGGCATAGCCTTAACTTGGAATGCCCCATTGTGATTTTGTGCTGATTAAACTTCTTTTGACTTTGATAAAACACAATTTTTACATAGCTATGTTGAGATAATATCAGATGAGATCGGGCATATTCAGGGTGGTATGACTATAGACTGTAGAGATAATATAAATCCTCTGCCTTACTGGTGGGTGACTTTGGTTCTTCCTTACTCATGGGTTTTGAGTGGTTTTCCCTGTATTCCCAACTCAGATATATCTTACCTGAAGCAAACCAAAATGACATTTTAAATCTTCTGTTCCTTATTTGCCTCAGTAAAAATGGTAGGTGGTATTTGTTTGTGGTAAGATATTATTCTGCAGGTGTGAAAGTATGCGTGCATTTATTAAACAAACATATTTAATAAGCGCTTATTTGGTGCTAGTGACTTGAGTTGGGCACTATGAGGGCGAAGACATGGCTCTTGTCTGTTAGTTGCTTATTCTTTGTTCAGAGAGAAACAACATGTCTAATAATGACTAGAGAGAGGGAATTTTAGCTGGGCTGGTGATGACTTCACGGAAGAGGTGGAAGTTGAACTTGGTCTTAAAGGATGACTAGAATTCTGTTTAATAGAGTTTGGGGGGAAGGCATTTCAAATTGAGGGAATGGCATGAGCAAGGGTGTAATGGCAGAAAATACAAATTATTTGAAGAACTGGAAGGAAACTAGCCTGGTTGGTTTTAAAGCGTTATCAGTAAGAGACAAGTTCAGAAAGATTACCATTTAGAAAGAGGGTCATATCACGTAGGGCCTTCTGAGGCAGGGTAAAGACTTTGAATTTTATCTGGGGAGGTAGAGAGGAAGTGACTGAAGTACTCTTTTAGGTAGGTAGATCAAGAGGGATTGATCTGGAAATTGTAGGAGCAGCAAAAGCTCTTGGTTATTGCAGGAGGGGTGTTAAGATGCAAGTTTATGTTGACTTTATATTGACTTTTGGAGGGTACTCTTTCTATCTTCACGAAGAAGTGATACATGTTTTTATCATGTCAAAAATGTTCTTGAAGTTCCTTTACATAGAACATTCATCTGTTATCAAAACATTGCCCAAACTCAGAAGACCATAGGGAAAGATAGCAGAGACAACAGGACAGTGTTTCTGTTTCAATTTGATTGATAGACATACCTCCTCCATTATAGACTTTATTTTAAGTGGGTTAATGAGTACCAGAAGCTGTCATCAGACCGTTTATCGTTTTTGTGTTAAGCGTTAGCCTGTTCCTGCAGCTACCATATTCTCTCTTGACAGTGACTTAAACTGTCTAAGTGCTCCCCAAATAGTCTGTTGAAGAAATTAGAATGCTGAAAGTGACTTTTGAATGCATCCCCAGAAATCCTCAGATAGCAGCACCTAGGTATAGTAGCCTACTAATGGTATAACCAGGTCAGGTGAGGTCAGATGGTTTTTGATCCCCAGTGAGATCAAAGGAAAGTGTTGCTAGTGTAGGGAGAAAAGGCTTAGGCTTTGCCGCTGAGCAGGGATTTAACTTGGGTTGCAGGTAGGATGTACTAGGGAAAACAATTCAGAATTACTTGCAAGCTGTTGCTCAGTATAGGGCTTTTGAATCAGTGACAAGAGTTTAGGGTATTGGCTGGGGTATGGGAGAACATGTGATGAGTTGGAAGATTCCCTTGGCTGGGAATTAAGATCTGGATTCTCATGCTCTGTTCACCAATATAGTGAAAGGAAAGAGGTGACTGTGCTCTGTCTGGCTTCTCTGTTCCTCGTTACTTTCTGGGAGCTGTCCCAGCTTTCAGGAGCTTTTCAAGGGCAAGAGCAGTAGTTGGTAATTGTTAAGAGGCCCTGGGTTAAAGAGATATATGTGACATCAGTTGTGCTGTAACTTCAATGAGGAGAGAGCAAATCACAAGTGGTAGGTGACTAATCTGGGGTTAACCAGGCCTGTGTTCACTAGTGGTTGGGTGACAGTGTCCTCCAGATGTCCCACTCATCATGCCATTCCTCTCTGCATTGCTGTGCTTAGGTGATTGGTGTGGCTTTTCTAAGTAGTCAGATGGAATATACTTTAGCAGGAGGTTTGTTCTTTGAAGAATTCCTAGGGCAGCATGAAATGACCAAGTTTGGCTGGTTTGTTCTCTCTTTCTCTTTCCTTTGGTCAAAATTCAGAAGGAAGAAATGTTTGAGGAAGTCTTTGAAGAAGAATAAGACTCTGTTGCTCAACTTGTAGAGAGTGCAAGTAACCTGTGGAAGTGTGTGAAAAGTAAAAGGGCCTAGGGGATACTAAGACGGGAGTGGGGGTTCACCTTTTACGTTAACTCTTGGCAGTTTACAAAATCTCACTCCTACATTCTCTCTTGATTTGTAAACTTTTTGAGATAAGTAGGTGAGGAAAACAGTGAGAGCTTCAGAGATATTAGAGGACATACCCAAGGGCACACAGTTTTGATGCTTTAGCTTCAGGTTAAACATCCAGTCTCCCTTGTAGCCTGAGAGAAGAGACCTAGGCTTTAATGCAGTCCTCTTATTCCATACGGCATGCCAGTAATTGGAAGTTATTTGAGGCAGTGAGGTAAGGTTGGTGCCCTCAGGGGTTACTGAGTTGTTTGAAGATTTTTAGAACTTCATAAATGGGCCTTTTAGAGTTAGTATGTGTTTTTGAAACTTGTAGGCTGTCAGTAATTACTGCTCACTGCTGTCTGTGGGCTGGCGTAAAGCAGCCTCCTGTTCCTTCCAGTTCACTGAATGCAAAGTGACTCGCAACAGCAGAGAGGGTCCCCAGCCTGTGATGGGTGCCTGTGGACAAGTTACTTAATTTCCTCAGTTTCTTGATCTGTTAAATAGGGAAAATGGTAGTAACCTCTTCGTAGAGTTGTAGTGGAAATCAAATGAGATTGAACGTACATAGCTCAGTGCTTGGCACGTGGTACCCAATCGGTAATTAGCTGTTAGGAAACCAGCTTATATAAACAATCTAGCAGAATATTTGTGTTGGAAGAAATATCAGAAGGCACCATGCACTTTTGTGGTTGAGGAAACTGGGGACTTAAGAAAATAAATTAAGTTGCCCAAAGGCTTGGCTCCATCATCTAGGTTTCTTGGTTCTGAATCATGTGTTTGATAT